CTCAGCCTTAAGGAAGCTCAGGCCAGAGCGGGCTGTGGAGGGGGCTGCCTCCAGCTCTGCAGAAGAGTCTCTGGATTCCCACGAGGCCCGAGGTCAGTGGAGCCCAGGTCCCGTCCAAGGACCTTCGGGAAGGTTTCAAGACGCTTCTGCTGAGAGTCGCTGGCCCATATGCACGGATGCAGCGCTGCTCCATCTGCTTTGCTGAGGATAGCCGTGTGCATGCCCGCGTCCGCCACCCCCACCCCCTTCACGTCTCTTTTTCCTTTGCAGTTGCCAGAAACCTCCTCTCGCTATGCCTGCAAGATCTCCAGCACAACCGCCCTCCAGGAGGTGCTGAAGGAGAAGCAGCAGCACATTGAGCAGCTGCTGGCCGAGCGAGACCTGGAGCGGGTGGAGGTGGCCAAGGCCACGAGCCATGTGGGGGAGATAGAGCAGGAGCTGGCCCTGGCTGGGACGGGCACGACCAGGTGACGTCTGTGCAGACGGCAGTGCCGGGGCCAAGAGACGCTTGCGGCAAATGCTGGGCGCGACCTTGGTGCAGGCGGTGCAGGGAGAGGCCGTGGGTCCCCGTCTGCCGTCGTTGCGGTGGCATCCGGCGCGTGGTTTGATCGCATGCACCTTCTGCTCACCCCGTGGGGGTTCAGGGAGCGCCGAGTTATCCCCGCTGGTGCTTTCGTGGTGTGGTTCCCCCCCGGCCTTCCAGAAACGCTGCGGCTTAGGTGGGAGACGTGTTCAGCATGCCGCGGTGGCAGGTGGCGGTGCCAGCCCACAGAGGGCTGTCGGGGGTGGGCGAGGACACTCACGCGCAGTTGCCTCCACAGCACGTCCTGGAGCTGGAGGCCAAGATGGACGAGCTGCGGGCCATGCTGGAAGCGACCGACTGGGAGAAGGTGGAGCTGCTGAACCAGCTGGAGGAGGAGAAGAGGTGAGGCCGTGCCAGGAGCTGGGGGGCTGCCTCGGGTGGGGTGCTCCTGGCCTTCCAGGGCTGTGAGAACCACAAACTAGCGGGTGCCCAGTCCTGAGAGTGGCCTCATTGGGGGGGATGGGGGGAGCTCACTGGAGCCCAGCCACCCCCGGCCCTCCCTGCTGTGTCCACGTGGCCTGGTGTTCAGGAGACCTGTGCTGGGTGGCCGGGAACTGTCGTATCCCAGTGGGGCCCTGTGGGAGTCCCTGGGGTTAATCCTGGGCGGGAGGAAACCCGCAGCACCCATGGGGCACGGCAGCAGACAGGCAGGGCTCAGGCCAGGCTGCAGACAGACGGACACGGGGTGCCGGCCAAGACGGTCTTCTCAGATGGGCTCCCGGCAGTGTGGTGCCCAGGGGCACTGCCAGTGCCCGGCTCAGCCCCTCAGCTCCACATGCTGAACTCACCACGTCCCCTGGGAGCCCCTCCTATCCCCCCGCCCTGGCCCCGAGTCATTTGCTGCTTCTCCCCCAGGGGCTCAGTTGTTGTCCCGATGCGGGGACAGGCGCTGGCTGGGAGGGACTGGCACGCGCACCTGGTCAGTCTCTAACCACCTCTGTTAGCTGCGAGGCAGAAAAGGCTGATATGACACTGTGCCTGGCGTTGGCTCGACAGAGCTTCCTCCTGTAGCCTGCGGGTACCACCCAGTGCTCACAGCCGAGGGGACTCGCTGACTTTTTTTTTTTTCTTTTTGGGTCAATCCAGCGATGCTCCCTGCCTCGGCACTCAGGAATTACTCCTGGCATTGCCCAGGGGACCATAATGGGATGCTGGGAATTGAACCCGGGACGGCCACGTGCCAAGACAAATGCCCTGTCCGCTGTACTCTCGCTCTGGCCCTCGCTGACTCTCTCAGCCCTCCTGTGTGTGGAGGCGGGGGCTGGGTCAGGCGTGCATCTACAGGATGGTGGCCCTCAAGGGGGGCAGCAGTGACGCCCCTCACAACTCTCCCTCTCCCCCACAGGAAAGTGGAGGACCTCCAGTTCCGAGTCGAAGAGGAGTCCATCACCAAGGGCGACCTGGAGGTAAAGCCCGGGCAGGTCCCAGAGGCTTGCAGGGTGCAGGCAAGGATGCGGGGTGGCCTGGCCGACCCCGCCGGGACCACTTCTGCTGGAGACTCCGAATCAGACAGGGATACCAGGGGTCATGCACCTGGCAGGGCCCGGCGGAGGCACCTCTGCTCCTTGGGGCCGGAGGCTGCTGTTGATGAGCGTTTTCCTCTCGTTCTGACAGTTGGGTCTACGCCTTTGCCTCAGCTTTGATTTTCAGTCGAGCAGCACAAATCAAATCCTTTAGAACCCCAGTTTATTGGAAGGTATTCCTTAAAACAAGAAAAAGCAAACAGTCAGTTTGCAAAAGAATAATTTCTATTTCTGCTTCTTTTCCTTCCTGTTTTAAGTTCATGGAAATTTTGTTTTCCCACCAGAAGGAGGTGAAGGCCCTGCAGGCGGCCTCCGAGAAGCTCGCCAAGGAGAACGAGGGGCTGAGAACTAAGCTGGACCATGCCAACGAGGAAAACACGGACGTGATCGCCCCGTGGAAGTCCAAGCTGGAGACGGCCATCGCCCCGCACCAACAGGCCATGGGCGAGCCGAAGGCATCCGTGAGCCGGGGCGTGGGCGCCGAGGCGGCCGAGCTGGCCGAGCTCAAGATGCAGATGGAGAGGCTGCAGTTCGAGTACCAGCAGGAGGTAGAGAACTCGAAGGCCCAGCAGGTGGCTGAGCGTGCAGCGCACGCCTTTGAGCTGCAGACGCTCAGGTCGCGGCTGGTCAGGACAGCCCAGGAGCAGAAGAACAGCCTGGAGGCCGCGCGGGCCAAGCTCGACCAGACCGAGGACCAGCACCTGGTGGAGATGGAGGACGCCCTGAACAAGCTGCAGGAGGCGGAGACGAAGGTAACGCACCTGGAGGGGTTGCGGGCCATGTGTAGGCAGCAAGCCCAGGCCCTGGCCGACGCCACGGCGCAGCTGGAGGCCACCCAGCAGAAGCTCTTGCAGCTCGATGGGCTCCGAAAGGCCAGTTCCGAGGTCAATTGGGAATGGAGAAGCTCAGGCAGCAGCTCCAGGTGGCTGAGCAGCAGATTCAGGAGTTAGAGAATGCAAAGCGGGCCGAGAGTGGCAGGTTGGTACCCGGGTGCCCTCGCCCACTTCCACGCTCGCTCCCTGCATGCTGTGTGTCTGTCTGCTCGCCGCCGTGTTCCGGCTTGGTGCTGACAGGTCTCCCGGTCACGTCCCGTGCGGTTCCCTCTGATGGGACTGAGAACGTGTCGGCACGATTCTGGGACTGTCATTGGTCCCCAGCACCCAGATGCCGTGCAAGCCTTGGCCCCGGCTAATTGGGCCCGTCTGGGGTCTTTCTGAAACTGAGAACTCTTCACAAGGCCAGTGAGAAAACAAGATAGGAGCCCCCAAAGCAAACCTCTGCCCCCCCCCTTGGGCCCCCTGCGTACTCGCCGAGTCCGCCCAGACCCTTGGGCTCGAGTCTGGCCGCAGGGTTCTTTCCCTGACCTTGCTGACCACCTGCTCGTGTGACTGGCTTTGCCAACCTCTCCCCGAGGCGCCTCAGTTTCCAGCTGGTGCTCAATGCCTCTGAGCCTCTGAGCTCCCTCAGGGCTGGTGACGTGGCCCATCTTGGTATTTCTCATTGCCGGCCCCTCCCTGCCTGCAGCACAAGCCCCTGCCCAGCCCTGCAGAGATTTCATCCCTTTCAGCCTCTAAGGGGTGCTTGGGCCAAGTCCGCCTTCCAGCATGGCCTCCTGCTGGCCACGGACATGGACTCTCATGGTAGCCCTGACCCTGGGGAAGGACAAGACAGTGAGATCTGGGCCAAGCCGAGGAAGCTGCAGTTCTCACCCAGGAGCCCCTTGGAAAAATGCCCTTTAACTCCTATAGGATTGTGGTGGCAGGACGCACCCTCCCAGCCGCCCCCCACTGACCCCCATGGCGCTGTGCGCTTTGTTGAAGAAACTTCTCTGTTGGCCAAGATGGAAGGGCTGTGGGATTTGTAGACAGGACTGACAGACATAACAGAAGGACCCAGAGACCCCCGGGAGTTCCTCTCAGGACTCAGGACTCCTTAGCTGACATTCCAGAAACAAACAGAATCAATTCCTAGGACACAGCAGGGCATAGTTGAACCACTTGTTCGCATCAAGATGTAACAAACGTCACGTTCTGCTGTCTAGTGGATTAGAGGTTCTTCAATTTAAATTTCATATTGAAACCCCTCAAACTTTTAAAGTCACAGACAAGAAACTACAAGAAAGTAAATCTTGGGGGCCAGAGTGATAGTACAGTGGGAAGGGCATTTGCCTTGCACACGGCCTACGTGAGTTCGATCTCCAGCATCCCATAGGGTCACTGTCATTGTCACTGTCCTCCCTTTGTTCACCAATTAGCTCAAGCGGGCCAAGAAAAAAAAAGATAACATTTTCTTCCCTCCCTTCCCTCCCTTTCCCTTTCTTCCCTGTTTCCTCCCTCCCTCCTTCGTATCCTTAGCCTCCCTCCTCCCTTGCTTACGTCCTTCTTCCTCGCCAAGCCATGCTCTCGGCTCTGGGGTCCTCCCGCCCAGCAGTAGTGGGTCTTTCAGCTTGTGGACCGATCTCAGGCTCGCCCAGTGGTGCTGCAGTTCCAACTCGGGCCTGGTGTGTACTCCAGCCCTTTGTGCCGTCTCCCCGCCCCTGGAAAGTCAGTCTTTCTCATAGGCTTTCTTATTTTCTGGTCACTCCAAATGTAGGTCTAGAAAACGCCTCTGTTTGAGCCGTTTTCAGTAACCACTAGACAGTCATCACCAGAACTGATGGCGCCAAGGCCTTGGCTTTGAGAACTTCAGGCAATCGCACTCACCTCACGCCTCTGTTTTTCGGGGTTGTGTTGGGTCATGGGCTTCTCATACGTGCTTTCTGTTTTGTTTTCCCCTTCCTGTTCCTGTTCGTCCCCTTGGTCCATTCACTCCATCCTTGTCTCTCTGGTAGGCCGAGAGCCTGGCCGAGGAGCTGCAGGGGAAGGAGCTAGCGCTTCGTAGTCTTCAGGAGAACTTGAACGAAGTCAGTCGAGTGAAGGAGGCTTTGGAGAAAGAGCTTCGGAGTTTGGTGAGTACCAGGGGAGTCGGACGCTGATCTTTACATTGCTGAGGGCAAAGCGAAGCCTCCTCAGGCGAGCTCGGCCCTATCGCCTCTGAGGCTCACATTGTGTGTGTGTATGTGCTGGTGAGCAGAGTCGCCGTGTGTGTGCGGGTATGTTTGTGTGTTTGTGTGTTTGTGTGCATTGTATGCGTTGTGTGTGTGTGTGCGCGCGTGTGTGCTGGGGGCAGGCAGGGGGCCCACAGCTGATGGTGGCCCCCGGCTCCCCGCAGGGGGAGAAGGTGGACGTGAGCCGCAGCCAGTCCCAGGCTCTGCAGGCCGAGCACGCCAAGTCCACCACGGAGAGCCAGGCGCAGCACGAGGAGGCGCTGCAGGCCCTGCAGAAGCTGCTGCTGCAGGCGGAGGAGAAGCTGCAGGCGGTGCAGGCGGAGAACGGGAGCCTGCTGCGGGAGGTGGCCGAGCTGAAGACGCAAGCCGACAAGGCCAAGGTGTGTGGGCGCAGGGCCGCCGTCTCGGGGTCGGGCTCTGTTGGGGGCCTCGGCCTGCAGCCTCAGACACTTCCTCCGTCCGTTGGCGCCTGTGAGAGCCAGAAGGGGGTTGCTCCCGGGGCGCCCGGCAGAGCACATAGAAGCCCAGGGACCCCAGCTTGGGTTGTCTGTTTTGTTTTTAGCTTGCTCAGTAAGTTCAGGCCTTCGTGTTTTCACTTGACTGCTCAAAGGCATTTTTTCATGTATCAAAGAAATGTTAAGGTTCGAAGCTCAGTGGGGAGAAATAAAGCGGCTGGAACTAGTGCAGTGAGAGGGCACTTGCTGTGCACGTGACCCACCGGGGGATCCCCAGCATCCCCCATGGTCCCCCAAGCACCCAGGAGGAAGCCGTGACCTCTGCCGGGTGTGAACCCCAAAACAAGAAGGAAAATAATGTACACACACATATATGTGTGTACATACATAACATGTACATATGTGTACATCTTTATATCCATATAATAAGTGTATTTTAATTCATATGTACATATTTTGATACATTTTCAGTTTTACACACTTGGTCCCATGTATAGTTTATACATATATGTGTATGCCTATACATATATGTGCTTGTATGTATATGTGTGTGTATACATATCTATAAGCCAGTGGAAAGAAAACGGAACCGAGCTTACATCAGAGGAAACCAGGGCTGCTGAGCGGCGGCCATGGCCCGCGTGTGTGTTGGTGCCCGGCCTCTTTCCACCACGCACCAGAGCCAGGGCTACGTCTCCTCTCTGGACCACCTGCACGGCCCAGTTCTGTGGCCAGCAGCCTCGTGTGCATGCTCAGGTCAGTCCCATTCCAGTAACCTGACCGTCAGCGGTCAGCTGCCCAGCGCACGCCAGTAGCCTGCTGCGGCTCATGGCTGCTGAGCTGGACAGAGAAGATAGCCCTTGCTGCAGAAAGTTCTGGAAAGTACATGGCGGTTAAACTATGGTGTGCATTGAGACTCAGAAACGAAGACGCACAACCCGTTGCTGACGGGCAGGGAGAGCAGGTGAGGGAGACTCTGGCCCGTGTGCGGCCACTCCTCCTGGAGCCCCTGGGCCCCTCCCAAATTTCTGCAAACACTGCCCTCCCATTGTTCATCGATTTGCTCGAGCGGGCCCACTAATGTCTCCATTTTGAGACTTGTTGTTACTGTGTTTGGCAAGCAAAACCTGTTGGCTTCAGTCTCCAAAGCTTGGTGGATTAGTCTGGATTTTCTATAAAGTGTAAAACTTTTGGGACTAAGTCCATTTCCTGCCTCTGTTTGTCCCTGTGAAAGTCGTTTTGCAAGCAATGGTTGCTTTTCCCTTCCCCTCCTGCACAAAGTTCAACAACAAAATACTTTTTGTAGTTCTTTGAATTGTACTGGAAACTAGTTTTTTAATGCATCCCTTCTATGACAGAGTGATGGATTTTGTAATGGAATAATTGAAGTGGGGGGAAAAATCTTATGCCCCAATGTCAAGATCCAACTGTACTTAAAACTTCCGGGGAGCTGTCAGGAATAATTTCAGACGGCATTTCAAAAATAAAATGGCTGATAGTAGAATGGGTAGTGCTGCCTTGTACTTGGCCAACCCGGGTTGATCCCCAGCATCCCGTATGGTCCTCCGGCCCTGCCAGCAGTGATCCCTGAGCACAGAACCCTGAGCGAGACCCGAACACCACCAGGTGTGGGGCCCCCATCCACAAAATAGGCAGGTAGATATGTTGACCCTGTGAAGCTAACTGCGTTTGAGCCTCTCCATCCTGCGAGTGTGTGTGTGTGTGTGTGCGTGTGTGTGCGTTTGTGTGCGCGCACGTGTTTGTGTGTTTGTGTGTGCATGCACGTATGCACGCGTGTGCAGGTAAGACTACTCTGCCATTTTCATTTCTGGTGTTTAGGCCACATTAAGTGCTTGGCTTGCTTGTGCCTGCTTGATCTCATTCTTGTTTCCGTTCTTGCCCGCTTTTGTTTCTGTAGTCATTAACTTACCTAATAACATCAGAGGAAATTGAGCTGATGTCGGAGGATCGCAGGGCCCTGAGGTCAGAGAATCAATTGCTGGCGAAGGAGAAGCTCTCTCTGAAGTCAGAGAGAGAGTCATTGCTATTGAAGTTGAAGGAAGCGGAGGCCAAAAACTCTTCGCTGCGGGAAGAGCAGAGGAAGCTCTGGCTGTTGAACCAAGCGATTCTTTTCGATAAAGAGAAGGTCATTGAGGCCAGGCGGGCCGCAGAGAAGCTCTGGCAGGAGGAGCAGCTCGGCCGAGAAGCCCTCGAGGCAGAGAAAGAGAAAGTGCTGGAAGAGGGCAGGGCGGTGCAGGAGGAGCTCCAGAGGGTGCGCGCGGAGAACGACGCCCTGCAGGTCGCCAAGGTGGGGCTGCAGGCCCTGGTGGAGGAGCTGCAGATGAGCAAGAGCAGCCTGGTGGCTGAGTGTAAGAAGGGCCTGGAGGAGAGGGGCCAGCTGGAGGAGCATGTCAAGAAGCTGGTTCTGGAGAACCTATCCCTGGCCAAGGACAAGGACAACATCATCCAGAAGCTGCAGTGCTCCTATCATGAGCTGGCTTGGGATCAGAAGTCGCTGGCGCAAGAGATCGAGGAGCTCACGGCCGAGAAAGAGTCGGCCCTCGAGAAGCAGTTGGAGCTCGACAGCCTGTGCGTGGCCCTGAAGCTGGAGCGTGACGGCCTGGCTCAGAGGAACAAGGAGCTGCAGCTCGAGAAGGACCTGCTGCGCCAGGAGCAGGAGAAGCTGGGCGCCAGCCTGGAGGCGGCGCTGCAGGCCAAGGAGCTGCTGGGCACCGAGGCCAGCTGCCTGCGCACGCAGCTGGACGAGGCCACCAAGACCGTGCACAAGGCCGAGCTGGAGGCGCTGCAGCAGGAGCTCCAGGGGCTGGCGGCCAGCCAGGGCGCCCTCGAGGCGGCGCTGCAGGAGGCCAGGGACGCAGCCCGCAGCCTGGAGAAGACACACGCCAGCGTGCTGCAGGCCAAGGAGGCGCTTGACGCCGAGCGGCAGGAGGAGTGCCGGCGGCTGGCGGAGGACAGGCTCGCGGCACAGCAGGCCCTGGCGCAGGAGCGGGAGGCCCGCGCCAAGGAGACCCAGGCGGCCGCCCACGAGGCCAGCCAGCTGCGAGGCCGCCTGGGGCTGCTGGAGCAGGAGGCGGAGGAGCTGCGGGCGCGTGCCCAGGGGCTGCAGGCCGAGCACCTGGACCTGCTGGAGGAGAAGGCGCGGTCAGAAGAGAAGGTGGCCGAGATCCTGCGGGAGAAGGAGCAGCTGGCCGGCAGTTACTTCCTCCTCCAGAAGGAGGTCAGTCGGCTGGCCCAGACCAGCAGCCACGTCTCGGCCAACCTCCTGGAGGCCCAGAAGGAGAACCGCATACTGAGGAAGGACAAGATCAGGCTCACCTTCAAGATCAGAGAGCTCAAGACGCTGCAGTCTTTTACGGTAAAGTGGAGCAGGCCCGACCCCCGTTGGCCCCGGGCACCCCCTTTTAGCGGTTAAGAGGATTGCTCTTCGTCGGCACAAGGAGCGGTGGATCCCCACGGAACCCGTGTGTCACGGGCTGTTTGCTGCGGGCTCAGGGACAGCTCGTCACCACGTGCCTGCTGACCTCTAGGACAAGGCATAAGCTGTGAATAAAACCAAGAAAGGACAGTATGTTCATTTCCGGGGGGAGTTCTCACGGAAGATTGCACTGTGGCTCTTCAAGACGTAAGGGAAGGCATGAGAGAGGCACTAAGTTGTAAAGCAAAGCATTGTCTTCCGGGGGGACTTTGAGCGGTTGCCCTGAGTCTGCTCACTTGGGTCTCGGGGGTGCCCTGTGCCACCAGCAGTGTGCCCGGTGCAGGGCAGCCTGGACTCGAGGGTGCCTGGTGCCGGGCAGGTGTTCTCTCTTCCCAGCTCACTCAGGGTTTACCTTTCTCCCATTCCCACACCTGTGCTCACTGCTCACATCTCCTCTCCTTCCCCCCCGCCCCCACGCTTTCCACCCAGGCCTGCTTAGCTGTCCGCTCATGTCATTTTTATTCTGTGTGAGGAATGGAGGCTCTTGGGAGCCCTGGGCTGTTTCTGGGTGTCAGTCTTGCTGCTGAGCGGCTCAGACGTGAGTCCCCGCAGGATGAACCGGCGGCCAGCGGGGCCGGAGCCACTGTGGCAGGTGTGGGTGGTTTGTGGGGCGTTTCGCGCTGTGTTGTGCCACTGTTGCCAACCCCTCCCTGCCCCCCCCCCGGCGTGGCTCAACGAGGTTTCTCTCTCCAGGCTGTGCAGACAGCGGAAGATGCCAGGCATTTTATGCAGCAACTGTCCCAGGAGAAGACAGAGACCCTGGCCTCCCTGGAGGACACCAGGAACACCAATGCAAACTTGCAGAATGAGGTGGGTGATGGTGGTGACCAGGGCGTGTAGGCCCGGCCTCAGCCTTGAGAGAAACTATATCCTGGGCCAGAGCGATAGCACAGCGGGGAGGGCGTTTGACTTACACACGCCAGACCCAGGTTCAATCCCCGGCATCCTATCTGGTCCCCTGAGCACTGCCAGGAGTAATTGGTCCCTGGTTCTCGCATGGGACAGGAGGGGAAGTGTACCCCTGCATGACCCCTGTATGACCCCTGGGGAGGTGCTGCGCGGAGTGACCACACAGAATCTGGGGGACATGGGGCGGCCTGGCGAGATCACTGAACAGCTGACCATTCCCAGACTGCTCGGCGGAGCAAGGAGCCCGGCAGGGACTGGACGCCCCAGTTAGCTCGCCCAGAGCCTGGGCCGGGACAGGAAGAGAAGCCACATGTGTTGACATACGCAGCATTTCAAGGCTCTTTGATGACCGTGAGAAGGCGAGCCAGTGCCCTCTGACCACACAGCCCCACTTTCCCGGGCTCGAGTGACTGCTGACGGCCTGGGCTGCTCCTCCCTCGCCAGGAGTGATCCCTGAGCACAGAGCCAGGGCATAGTCCCCACCGCACCAAACAAACCAAACTGACTACCCACAAAGGTTATAGATGAGCGTGTATACATACACAGACATGTACATATGTATATATGTGTGTATGCTTCAAAAGAGTTGGGGAATACCTACCATTTAAAATATCCGAGAGTGGGGCCGGAGCTACAGCACAGCAGGTAGGGTGTTTGCCTTGCACGTGGCCAAGCCAGGTTCCATCTCCGGCATCCCATATGGTCCCTGAGTGCAGAGCCAGGAGTCACTCCTGAGCAACGATGGCTTGTAACCCAAAAGCCCCCCCCCCAAATGAATTCATTAATCACAATAAAAGAAGCCAAAAAGAAGGAAGCTGAGGAAGAAGGGGCGGTGCTCACCTGGCGCGCGTGAGAACCAGGGGCTGGGCACACGCTGCCGGAACCCCATCCCCACATGCTCCCAGCACAAGAGGTGATGCTTACGGAGTGAAAGGCCCCATGGACAAGGACACATCCCTTCAGTCAAGGGGTCACGTCCTTGCCAGAGCCGAGAAGCCAGACCCCTCCACAGCCCTTACTCCTGCTGCTCTCCCAGAACCTGGGCTTCGGGCTCCCATAAAATTGGCAAATCTTCACTTTGCCAGAGTCGAACACCACTTTGGAGGGCCTCCTTCCCATCAGGAAGGTCCGGTCGCAAACGGAAACGTCCACCAACATGTGGCTGTCCCGGCCACGTTGTGCATGCTCTGGGCGCAGAGCTGGGGAGTCTGGTCCTCTGGGCCGCCTTCCTGCTTCTTGCTCCTGTCGAGGGAGACAGCTGGGTGGGGTCTTCTGGGGTGTGCACACTTGGCTGCAGACCCCAGTGCCCGCACCTACCATCACCAGGCTTGCGTCTGGCCTGCGGCAGGAGTCAGCCTTGGGGCCTCCTTGATGTCTCTCCTTCCCAAACCCCCTTCCATCCCACCTGGCCTGCAACACTTTATAATTTGAATCCTCTCCAAGGAAGGGGACCATCTGGGTCCCAGTGCCCTGTGGAGTTCCCGCACACCCTCACTTCCTGCACTTCTGTACTTAACAGCCGTTGTCCTGGACAGCACATGTGGACTGAAGTGAACTTTGCATGTGGGCTGTGGAGGTGGACCCTGCATGGGCTTGTTGGGAACTGAACATTTCCATGTTTTTTTGTGTTTGTTTTCTTCACCTGGAGGAAGAGAGATCTGTGTTTCTTGGCTCCAGTGTGGGAGGGCCTGGGCACTCTCAGAGACTCCTCATCAGAACTTGCCCCGAGGGAGAAAAAGAATCAGTCAGCTTTATGGTTTTCTTTCTTCTTTCTTTGGGGGCCACACCTGGCGATACTCCGGGCTTCCTCCTGGCTCTGCACTCAGGAATCACTCCTGGCTGCTCTCCAGTGGCCCCTATGGGATGCCAGGGATCAAACCTGGGTTGGCTGCGTGCGAGGCAAGCACCTTTCCCGCTGTGCTATCACTCAGACCCAAACCTGCCAGTTTTTAAGTGAAACATGAATGTTTGTGCCTATAGTCATGCTTACCTTTGTAAAGTGGGATTCCCCCCCCCCCCGCCCCGTGGATTTTAAAGAAGTGAGTCTGTCTTTGTAGGAGAGGGAAGGCCCTCTTGACTCCCTGCTCTGAGAGGAACCGAGGGGGCCCAGCATGTCCTCCTGGGGTCTTCCCTGGGGCACCCGGGAGCTTGCGCTCAGGAAGGGAAAGGGGAGCTCTGGCTGCCTCCAACCCTGGGGCGGGGACTGGAAGCGGGGCCCAGCCTCCTCTGTGGCGGGCTCCGATGGCTCCCGCAGATGGCTCACCGTCTCACGCTCTCCTTTAACACAGATCGATTTCCTGAATTCCGTGATCGTGGACCTCCAAAGAAAGAATCAGGACCTCAAGATGAAAGTGGAGATGATATCCGAGGTGGCTCTCGACGGGAACGGGGACGACTCAACAATTACGACGACAACTTCGGCCCGGCCACCCCATTCTCTGCACTGTGCAGCAATCACCAGCACTTGAAGGATGACATAACCAGCTATTTGTGAAACACCTAGAGTAACCATTTTACTGTCTTTACAAGGTTTACATTTTTCACTGTGGTTTTAGATGAATGGATGATGAGAAATTCAACATTACTAATTTTGGATTTTCTTACTACTAAAAGATTGAATGAAGGACCTCAACCATCAGAAGTTTATCATCCAGTTTCAATCTATTTTTCTTTATTTGAATGTTTTCTAGTTCTGTCAAAAGTGATAATGTACCATCCAGGCTACATGTATAATAAGAACTTCTATAATTATATGTATGATTTTGATGTATTTTCCTCTGGAGATTATCAGCTGTCTGACAAGTGAAAGATCTGGATCCATTGAAATTTTTAGTAATGACCATTATTGAAATTGTTTCACAAACTATGTAAAGCAGTATTAAAATTTGAGCAAGCAAGTGTTCTATATCTACTTTAATAAAATTATTTATTTTTTGCCAGTGATAACTGATTATTCTCAGGTTTCTTTAGAAAAGATTTTTGGCTAGCAGTGAAGAACTATAGAGTCAAATGAGTCAAACAGTTTCTACAATGGAATTCTGATACACCAATTTCTTTTTGTTTCTTTATGTTTGTGCCACCCCTGGTGATGTCTTAGGGCTTATTCATGGCTCTGCACTCAGGAATCACTCCTGACAGTGCTTGGGCAGACTATATGGAATTACAGGGATTGAAGCCAGATTGGCCAAAGCAAATGCCCTACCAGCTGCACTATTGCTCTGGGCCTGTAAACCATTTTCTTAAAAGCGTTTATCTTGGGCTAAAGAGATAGTGCAGTGAGTAGGGTACTTGCATGTGGCTGATCTGGGTTCAATGGCAGGAATCCCATCCAGTCATCTGTGTCCTGGCAGGAGCAATCTCTAAGTGCAGAGGCAGGAGTAAACCCTAAGAAGCACTGGGTTGGGGGTATGGTGCCACCAGCAGGTCAGTCTGTACCTGTGAGGCGAGTGCATCAGCAGCCTGATGGCGCCTTCAGACTTCCAGGTACCCCCAAATTGCTGCCGTGCGTTTGGCCAGACCCCAAAAACTTGAGGCAGAGTTGACCAAGAAAGTAAACAGGTAAAAGATATGTGGGAGATATACCCACAAACCACCTCCAGTTCAGCTATATAATTGGAGACATGGCCTCTCTGGTTCCTGATTGAACTGCTTAACAGCCATGATCCCAGAGACTCAGAAACAAATCTCAAAACCCAATGTTTTTTGGCAGAGATGTGTCCAGTCCCTGCAGTAGGTTAGAGGCGCTGGGCCACCCCAGGTGGGAATAGATTTCGTGCCCTGGCCTGTTCTCCCTGGCAGCCCACTGGTCGCCATCCTCCAGAGGCCACAGGACAATCAGGTTTGGGCCCAAAGTGACAAGACACGTAGAGCCTCATGGGATGGGGGTGGAGCTGGCCCTTTTCTCCCCAACAAGACCCCCAAGTCGTCACCCACAAACGGCCTCTCTGGCTTCTGATCGAGCTGTTTTACGGCCATGATCTCAGAGACTCAGAAACAAATCTCGAAACTCAGCAACTTTTGGCAGAAATGCGTCCAGATCGCACAATAGGTTACTGTTGCCGGGCCACCCCGGGGGGGAAAGGGTGCTCTCCCTCCGCCTGCTCTCCCGTGGTGGCTCATTGGCCACCATCCGCCAGAGGCCATTGGACAGTCAGGTTTGGGCCCACAGTGACGAGACACGTAGGGCCTCATGGGATGGGGGTGGAGCTAGCCCTTTCCTAAACAAAAAGACCCCAAGTTGTCACCCACAAACGGCCTCTCTGGCTTCTGATCAAGCTGTTTAACGGCCATGATCCCAGAGACTTAGACACAAATCTCGGAATCCAGTGGCTTTTGGCAGAAATGCATCTGGACCCTGCAGTAGTTTACTGTCGCTGGGCCATTCCAGGGAGGAAAGGGTGCTGTCCCTCCACCTGCTCCCCCTTGGCGGCTCTGTGGCCACCATCCTCCAGAGGCCATTGGACAGTCAGGTTTGGGCCCTCAGTGATGAGACAAGGGGGACCTCATGGGATGGGGGTGGAGCCAGCCTTTTCCTCCCCGTCTCAACGTGACATCAAGTCGCCGCCCATGAACGGCCTCTCTGGGTCCTGATTAAGGTGCTGAATGACTATGATCCCAGAGACTCAGACACAAATCTCGGAATCCAGTGGCTTTTGGCAGAAATGCATCTGGACCCTGCAGTAGGTTACTGTCGCTGGGCCATTCCAGGGAGGAAAGGGTGCTGTCCCTCCACCTGCTCCCCCTTGGCGGCTCGGTGGCCGCCATCCTCCAGAGGCCATTGGACAGTCAGGTTTGGGCCCTCAGTGATGAGACATGTGGGGCCTCACGGGATGGGGGTGGGACCAGCCCTTTCCTCCCCATCCCAGCAAGACCCCTAGTCACCGCCCACTAATGGCCTTTCTGGCTCCCGATCAATCTGCTTAACGGCCATGATCCCACAGACTCAGGAACAAATCTTGGAACCCAGCAGGTTTTGGCAAGAAATCCCTCCAGATTTAATTGTTAAAATTTTGGAATTTCAAAATCGCGCAGCCACTACTACAACCACGCGACATCATATGTTATTCATAACCAGGAATAGAAAACAAATTGTCTACTGTTGCCTTTTCAGCAGCTCTGTGTGTTGGGGTAAAATCCCAAATAATAATGGTGGGTCCAGTGTCAAAATATTGAATGTGATCAAAGTAGAGAGAGTGTAATGTGAAAATCATCTCTCCACAGGTAGGGGGAGGGTGTGGGATGGGGGCATACTGGGGTTTTGGGTGGTGGAGAATGGCACTGGTGAAGGTACGGGTCTTTCATTTTATAACCAAGATTTAAACCCGAAAGCTTCGTAACTGCTCTCATGGTGATTCAATAAATAAAATTATAAAAGATGAAAAATAATAGAACCACTGGGTGAGGTTTAATGGCAAAAAAAACCCAAAACAAATAAAACCTTTATTGCATTATTGCAAAGCTTCCTAACCAATGTAGCCTAAAATGAATACCTTCAGTGATTCTCCATAGCTATTTGACAAGACGAAAATAAAGGGACACCATGCAGTACAGACGCCATCAATCCATAAAGTCTGGGAAAGAAACTGGAAGTTGCTATATTATTAACCCAAAATTAACAGAACCAACGATGTTTATAAGCAACAACTCCTGTACGTTTGACGCACGTGTCCTCAGGTTGATTTTTCCTGAAAAAGAGCTTGAGCAAGAACGTTACTTTTAGCCTACATAAGCCCCAATAGCAGTCCTTGACTTTAGAATCTATGGTAGGGAATTCAAACGGTCTATACATGAATCATGGTTACTTTGCAGGATATCCAAATATTACATCGTACTGTGAATATTCTGTAAAACTAGGTTGTAAGTCAGTAAACTGTAGATTGGAGAGAGAGCCCTGGGGCAAGGCTGATGCCTAGCAAGCAGCAAACCCAGAGTCTTTTCCCTGGCACTTCCTATGGTCCCCAGCATCCCCTCCAGGAGTGATGCCTGCGCAGTTAGGAGGAGCCTCAGCACTGCTGGATATGGTTCCCAACTCCCTTGACAAATACAAGCACCCATTTCGTGGAATATAATATGTATGGTCACGGTCCTCCTGTTGTTCATCGATTTGCTCGAGCGGGCCCAGTAACGTCTCCATAGTGAGACTTCTTGTTACTGCGTTGGGCATATCGAAAATGCCACGGGTAGCTTGCCAGGCTTTACGTGCGAGCGAGATACTCTCCGTAGCTTGCCGGGCTCTCCGAGAGGGGCAGAGGAATCGAACTTGGGTCGGCCATGTTGGCTGCGTGCAAGCAAACACCCTACCCGCTGTGCTATTGCTCCAGCCCATAATATACACACACACACACACACACACACACACACACACACACACACACAGATATACAGGGGATTGATATCCAAGGCTAGGAAAATGGAGGCCAGGAGGACTGGTCAATGGTTGGAAGCTCCCACAAGCATTGGGGACAGAGTAGGGACCAGTCTGGCAATAATGCTTGGAAATGGTTGGAAATCACTTTGGACGGGAACTGGGTGTTGAAAGTAGGTAAAGAGATACACATAATAACCTTTCCATATCTGTATTGTAAACCGAAAGGCGTGTGTCAGAGAGAGGGGGAGACAGAAAACAGGGAGAGAGGGAGGAGAGAGAGAGCACTGCAGAAAGGAGGAGGGAGAGAGAGGTGCCTTGCCTGCCTGGGGGAGTAGGGAGACCGGGAAGATTCGTGGTGAGCGATGTACACTGGTGAAGGGACAGGTGTTGGGACATGATATGACTGAAATCCAACAATCATGATCAACTCCGTGTATTTCACTAGGATTGAAAAAATTCACAAAGAAAACAACATTTCTAAAAAGACAAAACAAATTTCAGTCGACCTTGAAATTTTGAGCAAGCAGCAGTGCAGTGGGCTGGTGAGCGGTGCTAGCAGAGCCTCACCTGGCAGCGGTGGTGGAGTCAGCTCCCAGGCTCCAGAAGCTTCCGAAGCTGGGCGCCTCTCCCTGGCCAACACTGAGCCTTACTCATCAGCGTTCTTTGGGGGGCTGCAGGGGCTGGAGCACAGGAAGCACATCCCTCCTGCAGGCAAATGCCTGCATCCCGGAGCTATCTCCGGCCCCGAAGGTGAGACTTTCCAGCAGGCCGAGGACCAATTTTGTCCTTAGTCACTTTGCGTCTTTTATTTATTTATTTATTTTGCTTTTGGGGTCACATCGAGGGGTGCTCGGGGGTTCCTCCTGGCTCTGCACTCGGGAACCACGCCTGGCAGTGCTCGGGGGACCCTAGGGGACGCTGGGGATCGAACCCGGGTCGGCCGTGTGCCAGGTGACCGTCCGGACCCCTGCGCTGCCCCTCGGTCCCTTCGCTTTATTTTATCTCAACCAAAGGGACAAACAAAACCAACGTTCTGGCCCCACGCGGCGGTGTCCAGGGGCTGCCCAGGGAGGGGTCGCCCCGACGGCTTAGCACCACCACTGCCGGCTCTAAGGCCAGT